CTCGTTTCTGGGAAGGAGGCCTGGAGTAGTAACCTATTTCCAGTGCTTTTGAGAGTTAATATCTGTATGAGGTTAGATGACAGTTTCTTAAAGGAGAGTTCTTGATTGTCACCACATCAATCAAATATTTACTTGTGTTATTTAACTATATTAACTGCTGTCATTCAAAGAGCTTCTTACAGGTTTAGAATTTTTAAGAAGTTTTCAAGTACTTCGTGTTCATTTTGTTTTTATCCAGTACCTTTTCTCCCCACCTGTTAAGATTTCAGAAATTGAGTGTACTGTCTTTGGTGCCCTATAACTTTTTAAATTTATACAAGTACACCTGCTTTCTACATCCTTTGTGCCTGGGCTTTCATTTCAGAAAAATGTCCAGCAAGACAACAGTGAAGCTGGAACACAGCCCCAGGTACAAACTGATGGTCAACAAACCTCACAGTCTCCCCCTTCACCTGAACTTACCTCAGAAGAAAACAAAAACCCAGATGCTGACAAAGTGAGTGACTCTTCTAGTTCATTCCATTAGACAATGTTGCAACATGTAATCATTAATGATATCATTCAATCTGAAGTTTCAAGAGCAAGCACCAAGTGATTTCATTCTATGTAGGAGTTTTTTCTATAAATTTTCTATGTATTTTTCAACTAAAACCGTTTAGAGGTACTCGAGTTCAAGTAAGGGAAGTGAATGTCCTGCTTTAGACCTGAAAGCTTCTCTTGATTAACTGCCACTCCAAGTAACAAGAGACTAACGTATAGCATTTGTTGTCTTTTAAAGGGCAGAGATATCTGATAATTAGAGGTGGAAATATACACCCCAGTGCTACATGATTAGTTTTCACTTAAATCAATCAGATGATAAATACATGGGCTATAGGAGTTCAGTAAACTTTTTTCTCCTCAAGTCATCTGTCACGTTTAAGTAAATTAATTGTGATGGTCTGGTAATAACCAGATTGCATTTCAAAACGATTATTCTTTTGCCCTGCTTCCACAGTAGGTATTGGAAGCTAAATTAAATGGTCGTGTTGTATCACTTGAAAAATGACAGTTTAGAATCAAATCTTTAATTCATGGTCACGTGGATATTGAGATGTTTCCGATGTTACCCCAGATCACTATGTGCTTTGTAGAACTTTGTTCTCTGTGCAAGTTGCATGTGAATTACTAACCTGTTATTGGTAGTTTGGTTTCTCTCACATTCTGAGGATAGAGTTATTTACCCTTGGGCAAATTAGAGAATTGTTCATTGTGGTCAAAATAGATTTTACACTAGGTGAAAGTTTCCAGTTTTAAATTTCCCCATGCCCTGATTGATCTTGTGGGGCTCCCAATATGA